AGATACAAAAAAACACATCACATAAGTGAGGTACTGAGAGTATAAAGTAAATAAAACAAACTATAAAGAGTGTCAACAGAATTGTGTTTTATGAAATTAAATTGTATTCAATTTTAGCCTTCCAGTATAATAACGTCAGTTAAAAGAGAATTATGTATTTAATTTTGGTTGCTAATTGAATAATCTTATCGCATGGCCTCCATATTCTCCAGATTTGAACCCATCAGATGTTTTCCCCATGAATTCCAAATGCGCCGAGTATTGGAACATCCTGGGAATTGGATGTCCTGTCCTCACGGTCCAACCCCTAGCGAACCCACAATACGGCGTATTTATTAACTAAATGCACGAACCGATCCCGCGACGGCCGAACTGCGATAATATTTGCATTATTTAATTACACCGGTTGAAATATTCAGATACGAACGAATTTTCCCCGAATATTTGCCTAATCCGCAATGCCAACACTTCTTGAAACGCTCGCAGCCACATCCGTCTATTATTAGCTTTATTAAACCAATAATTCAACTTCCAACGCATTGATTAAATGGTACAAACGCAAACCTAATATCTCGCACACAATTTGTATTAATTTGATTTGACAGGGGATTAGCGTTTGTCCCTGTGTTATTAAATAATGGGAGAGATACGCCAGATAATATTTCGTCTCCAGTGCCAATGATCGGTGTTTCCTACACTTCAGGCGTCAGGTAGGTGACAATAATAATATGCCGCACCGTCCTCACATTAACAATGAACCAATTTATCTCACCATTTCTTTCGCAAATTAATAGACGATAAAAGAAAACGACTCCGGTGGAAATTTATAGCGCAAGAAGTATATTACTTCAACGGGCAAGGTCTGAATAACAATTGCACATACAAAGCTAGTATCAGTTACAGCGCGCCGTGTATCAAACTTTTTCTAACCGCCTGCGCCTCGTCGCGGTTTTTCGTTGGCTAAATGCATTTCGTCGGGTGGGTCGGCATTGGCAACGGGCCAGCTCTTCTGGACGTTTTTATACCCGGTAACGAGGAAAAGCTACTTAACTGGTTCCCGGGGCGATTTAGAAGAATATCGGCTGCTGTCAGGTGTAATCTGCCCAGAGATGTGTCTGCCAAGCAAACGGAGGCGTGTGGAATCGCTTTGTTTCACAGGAGACGTCACAGTTTAAATTTTAACTTTTTTATATGCAGGGTAATTCAGCCATAATGTCCTTATTTTTAACCGAAAATCGAAAACGAAATTACTTAACTTTTTAAAAGATTACCCCTTGACTCCCGCTAATTCGGCGGCCTACTACGCGTGACATTTTCTGGCCGGAAATGAGCCGGTGGACCACAGAGCGTTCGATCGTTGAAGCGAAACAGCTGATTTCCCCAGTCAGTCGTCTTGAATCTTGCAATTGGCTTCAAAATCAAAGTACTTTATTAACAAAGTGCTACGGACGGATGAGTGTTGCTTTAGCCGTACTATACTTCTCTCCGAAAAGCAATAAGTCACTAGGTATGTAGTATACAGGGTGTTTTTCAGAAAGACCTAAATAAAAATATTAGTGACTGTAATTAGTCATTACTAACTACAGTCACTAACAATCACTAAAATTTTGATATAAAGTTAATTAGAGTTTAAAATATTACTGAGAATGTATGCGTTGTTTATGAGACATACATCAATAAGTTTTAACATAAGCTTACTTTGAGAATTTTCTCGAAAACCGTCCACATTAGGAAGTTCTAACAAGAGTACATTATTTTTAGAAAATAAAATTGTACTTTAGAAATTGGGGCCCAAATGGTAAAAAACCTAACCTTAAAAAGATTAGAACCTAAAATGTAATAGGAATGTAGCGTAACTAGCGTTCTCTATGAAATATACAAAAAATTATTAGTCCAGCGTATTTGGCGTCCTTAAAAACCCCGGAATACCAAATTTCATAAAAATATTTCGTACCGTTTGTAAATTTTCGCAAAAATTCTATTTAAAAAATTATTTTGTCGCTCTGTATCTCGAAAACAAGAGGAGATAGACATATAGTTCATAAAACAAAAAATTCTTATTTTTTGTCGTACTATCACCCTTTGAATTTACGGGAGGTCTTTATGAAACACCCTGTATATGTACTACAAACTGAATAATTAATTAAACATAATACAAAAAACTCATATTCAATTATAAGACATAGTGAAAGTGTTAACAATATTAAAAATATTAAATTGTAACAACCGAACATTCGAAAACGATTATTATCGTTTTTATTAACTAATAAATGATTTGAAAATATGTATTTTAAATATTTCTTTGTAGCGCATTCGTATTCTACTAATTTTTTCCACCTTCCCTTAAAATTAACGACATTCTGACTGAATCGCCCTGTAGATATGTATTACGGAGAACTGTTATTTTTTCAATATTTATTTTTTGTAATACAAAGCCTTATTAGCAGAAAGCTAACCTATACAATTTATTTATTTATTTGCTCTAAAAATATACAAGGGGCATAATACCCTATTAAAAAATAAAAAATAGTATTACAAAAATATTGTAAAACTAAATAAAAGTGCTACCAAATACAGTACAAACACTTTTAAAATAAATACAAGCAAACAGAGCAATAAAAATGTAGACAAAACACAAAAATAGTACAAGCTTTGAATATAAGAAAAAGCAAAATATGATGCAAATACTAATGCAACATCGAAATATTAAAATAATGCGAATTATAAAAACAAAAAAAAAACGAATCAGAGCGTAATAAAAATATAGAGAAAATATTTTGTTAAGTATTTGTTATTTTTAGTACTATAATTAAAAAAAATATTGGAGAAATATAGATATCTTAGGAAAAAGGGTATTACGTTTTGATTTAGATTGAGTACCTAGTTTATTCAATATACAGGGTGTTTCATAATGATGTGCACATATTTTAAAGAGGTGTTTAGAAAGTAAGTTTAGGGGGGGTACCTCTTATATATATATTTTTATTTGAGCCTCCCCTGAAAAAATATTCAAATCTCAAAATGGCCGAAAAAATTCTTTTATTTTTTTTTTCACGAAAATGGTTAAACTTAGAAATTTGAATTTTGGTACACGTTAACAACTAGTTGAATGGTATTTTTTGGTAGTCCCTTTTTCTGGTTTATGTCTTTGAATTAAAAAAATTAGCACCTCTTAGTTTTATTTCTCTCACAACTTTTTTCTACGTTAGCCAATTCCAACAAGAAAAATAACTTCTAATACTACATTTCATTTAGAAACTTTTTTTACTCTTCCCATTTTTTCGTATACTTAATGGTTTACGAACAAAAAAATAAATTATTTTTCCTTGCCGATTAGGTACACAAAATTGGTCCAACTAAATGGGTGCTTAAATCGCAATTTTGGACAAGTATCCTGAGTTTTTGAAAAAAAAACTTGAACTTTTTTCTAGCTCTTACCCCATTTGTGTTATCTTGAAAAAAAAAAACACGTTATTTTACTTTTTTTAACCCCTGGCGGGGGATTGAAAAAAAAATTACTGCCACTATTGTTATTATAACGAGCGTTCATATAAAAACGTGGTCGAAGTTGGCTCTAACACATTGGATGTAGGGCGTAGCTTATAGCGACCAACTTAACCTCATTTCTCAACGAGCTGTATAGCAGCTGTCAGTTTCAATAACAAAGCGGCGATACAGCGCTTTGACAGATGACGTTTAAGTTAATTTGCTATACGCTACGCCCTATGTCCAAATTTTATATCTCAAACTAACTTGTATCAAAAATAGACCTATTTAATTGGACTATTAGCCTTGTGTTCGATTATTTTAAAGAAAATACTTCTGAGGCAACGCTACCAACAAAATGTACTTCCCACGAAGCAATTTTAGAGGTACAGAAAAACCTTTTTAAAACGTTACGCATCATAACCGGGCCCGTCACTTTGCGTTAACTCATATATTTAATACATTTTTGCTCTTCCTAAAGCTTTGCCAGCGAAACACACTTTGAATAAAAATTTTAACCGGATAAAAGATGACACGCCGACAGTGGGGGTGTCACGCCCTCAGTCTCCCCCGTCGTCTTCTCGGAAAGTGTAAAAATATAACTAGCGGATTAAAAACGAGATAAAGCAATTAACTCGGCAGCGGCTCCGCCGAGCACAAAGAATTAAATTAATTATTCAATTTGGCGGTGTAAAGCCCCCTCGCTCTGAATGGCGCTGATGAGGAGCGCAAATAAACCGACAAACAAAATTAGAGAGGCTTGTTTTTATATGTTTACACGTTTATCTGTGCGCCCGCGATTTTATTTATCGGCAGATATTGACAACGACCGAGCGGTGAAGGGTTCGCGTAGATTGCGCGCCGGTTGCGGTCGGCGATCGAGATTTCAAGGCCGCCCATGGATAATTCGCGTTTAATTTAATGGACTTGCTGGAAAAAAAAAATTGAGGGAGATTGAAAACAGAAAGATCCGCACTTCAATCAGGTAATTGTTGAACGCACCCAGCCCTCAGAACAAACCGAGAGGGACAAGCTGTGTCAGATTTGAAAAATGGAAATGGGAATCGTAGGTGGCTTGCAACATTCCTCCTGGAAAAGTCGATATCAAAATTGCAGACGTCGCAAACTTTGGTGCCTTTCCAGTGGCGATCCGTGGGTTTTTTTATTAGGTTAATATTTCACACAATTTGTTACTAACCTAATTGACGGTGTGTAGAATCTAGCGTAAATATTTAATTAAATGAAACGTCAAATTTGACAACGAAGATTCTATCTTTCTGGCAAGTGTGTTTCCTTTTGAACACACTGTAGAACTTTCTGTTTAATTTGATCTACGATTTATCAAATGTATTTTCGCCAAAAACCTGTAAAGATAATGTAAGAGACTTCATAAAAATATCTTCCGATGCTTCTGCGTCTAAGTACTGATGGAGCGGCGCCCCACATTTCTCCCCATCACCCTGATTTACGTCTGCATTTACGAGGGAGCAAGGGTTAAAGAGAAACTAACAAGATAGAGTGGTAACACTTTACTAATTCTTTGCCGGTAAATTATCGCGGCGATTATTGATTCCCGTCGTAGAGTTGTTTTAGCTCTTCGCAGCGAGTAGTATCGCCGTTCATAGTGGACACCATGTTACACAAAAGGGTCTTCTCGCAGGACTCGTCGCAGCCCTCCTTCACCGCGTAGTCGCTGTTGCGGAATTTGAAACTGGAGAAAAATATGGGAAAAAAAATAATTAACCCAGAAAAATAGAACTAGAACAAAATTTACTGACATGCAATATTTTTCAGCTACAATAAACATTATGGACTCATTGTTAAGACGTTGACATTTATATTTGATATACCCTGTATATGAATAATACAGAATATCAGGCTAACTCATTGTTCTCGTAAAAACTACGATGTCTACGTCAAATATCATCGTCTGCAACAGCCTTTAGAAGTATATTTGCGCTCTAATTCCCCATGCTTGAGAATTCAGGACTTACTTGTAATATTTCTGGATTAAACTGTGATCCTTCGTCATCTTAACGAGCAAGTCGTCCACCGCGCTAGGCTCCAAGCTGTCCACGCCATAAGCTTCCTTAAAAGAGTAGAGTTTGTACCATTCCACATCCTTTGTAGGATCTAAATTGGCCTGAGTGAGATTGAACGTCCATTCCTCAAAATCTAGGACGTCCTGGAAACGTAGGTGGTTTTACGACGAAATAAATTTCCTTATCATTACAATTTTAGATGATATAAGAACATAAAGCAGGATATAAGGTTAAATTATTGTAATGAAAAAAAATTGAGACCCATTCTTCTAGATTTAGGATGCTCTGCGAGCGTAGGATGGCTCTTGATTTATAAAACTTTTAAGTTTTTTAAAAAAGTAACCACCATTTGATGTCGGACAAACACTGATTCGAATGAGCTCCGAAATCACTTACGTATGTCTCTCCATCAACCTGGTAAAGCTTGTAACTAGGATTGGCCTTATCGGAGTTCAAAGAAGCTCCGTTCCAGTTCACGCTAACGGGTTTGGAAGAATCTGTACTGTCGTAAAAGACCCACATTTCGTCTTTGTGAGAGTGGCCCGTAAAGTGACCAGTTACGGTGTTGGCGAATCTAAAAGGTCATATATATCAATGAGAAAAGAATTGACTGGTTATGAATTGGATGATTTGATCCAACGATTACCTGCTAATGATTCTTCGATATTCCCTACTCCAACTCGCCAAGCAAGATCCAGTTCCCGTGGGCATATGCATCAGAAGATGCACATTTTCCTTCATTTTCTCAGCTTCCAACAGCACCTCAACAAGCCAGGCTAGTTGTCCGTAAGGATCTTTACTGTCATTGATCAACCACCTAAGTAACAAACTGATATATCACCAATTCTTTACATGTATCGAATTGCATACCAATTTTCATTGTAACACACGTTATTGTTCAAGACGACGATTCTAAGGCTTTTCTTGGGCGATACTGTATAGAAACCGCCCTTTAATAAGGTCGCCTTGGCTTCCTCTGGCAGCCACTCCCCCCACTCCTCAGCTATAAGGTTAAATAACCACTGGGTTGAGACGCTAGGATCGTCTACTCCTTCAGAAGACCAACTGCAACATTAAATATTCGTTGTAACTCATCACATTCTATGGAGGGACTGAATCTGTTCTAACTTACGTGTTGACTGGATGAGGTTCGTGATTTCCCAAAGCAGTAAAGACTGGGACTTTGAAGTATTTTTTGAACAAATCCGTGATGGTGATGATTTCTTTCGTGTTGTTTTCCGTACTTGTCGACCACACCCTGTGCCTGATGGTATCACCAGTATAGTATACAAAATCAAATTCCTAAAAGAAAAGGTATTGCTCAGTAGGATTTTCTGTATTGTTCAGAAATATACAACGACGTACATGCGTGGCCATTTGTTTGAAAGCTTCCTCCACTGTATGGATGGGTGTGTCTCCGCTGACGTATTCACCCCAGTACCCACAAGAAGTTCCTTCCTCTGAACCATCATCTTGGTCGGCCTGGCAACACAGAGGCTCTCCACACTGACTAGATTTGCCAGGAGTGTACAGCGGGTCGTAGTGGATGTCGGAAATATGCAGAATGTTAAACGTGTTGGTGCCATTGGCCTAAATATAAAAAATCGTTAAAGCTTTCCTCTGGCTTTGTGTCGGTATTTTGCGGCTATAGCTACCTTCACTTTTTCGACAGTGTTCCCCGAAGGAACCTCGACAGTCCATTCGTAGGTGTTGCCGCTGTCGCAGTTGTAGCTTGTTAATGCGAGTCCACAGACTGAGGTGCTATTCAGGTCTGGATTGTTGTCGATGATATAAGTGACAATGCCCTAAAAACATGGAATAAATCAACGTTTAGCATCGAAAGATGTTCCGAATTGTGATAAAATTGATACAAAGCAGTCGTTAAGTAATTACTGTCCTATCCTTAAGCTGCTGATTGCGTATTACTTACCAGATTAGCATTGATGACTCCATCGCAAACTTTTTCGTTCTCTATTTTCAAAGTGACGCAAATATCGGACGCCTCCTTCGCCATTTCCACGTCGGTCATCCCCTGTCTCCTCTTTGAAATGAACAGGTCCACTATCTGGCTGCACAGATAGCATACCTGGGAATCTTCGAGGGCCGCTTTTACATCGGTGTGACCACTGAATATGTTGGGTAAAGGACACTGACTCAAGGCATAGCTGAAGTAACCAGGGCGTACACCAGTGTTCAAGTACTCGGTGAGGGCTCTGGTCGTGAGTTGGAAGCCGTCTACAAAGGAACGAGAAGGTTCTAATTATCAGTTTTAAAATGTTTGGAACACAAACAGATCCACGTGATAACGGTCCTAAATCTTCTGTTGTTTAGATTCATTCAGTCTCTAGGTTTGTTCTTATATTAATGCAGTTGATACATGTCGTAGTGTTGTCTAAAGTAAATAAATACTTACCTTCTATTGTGTTGCTGGTTGAAGCAGAAACACACAAACAAAATAACACAAACCCGAATAGTTTGGCACCCATTTTGAGAGTTATGTTACGATTGTAGTAATCTTTTCATTTAAATTTGTTGAAACGGTTTTTAATCATCGGACGCGATAGATATTTTCAACGTTATCAGATAATGTGGCAATTCAATTTTTGCTTCAATTAATCTCAAGTATCTTGTCTTCAACTTAAGAACAAAGTAAATAGTCGATAATTTTTATTACGCACCTGTTACCATACCACGTTAACTGTCAATAGGTTTTAATTAAGACGATTAAGAAATATTCGATATTCATTTGTTTTAGACTCGACCTAGAAATATATCGCATCTTAAAGAAGAATGGTTAGAAAGCCTATAAAATGCCAACTTCTCAAGAAATTATTCCTGGTGATCAAATAAGGCGTATGGAGTTTTGGGAATCCACTAGGGAAAAAATATATGAAAATAATGGATTTGCTTGGTAGATTTTATTTCCAATATTGGTCCCGGGAAAACAAGCATTTAAGTATACCATTAAGAATGCAGTACCCTCAAAAGGTAAATGTTTGGGCTGGCATTTTAGGCGATAATATTGTGGGATCCTTTTTTATTGATGGTAGCTTAAATGCTGAGAGATATTTGCATTTATTACAAAATAGTGTTGTACCAGCTGTACGAATCTTGGATGTAAATTTTGAGGAAATTTGGTTTCAGCAAGAGGGATGTCCTGCACACAATGCAAGGCCAGTTCAACATTATTTGGAATAAACTTCACCTCAAAGGCTTAGAGGTATCATACCTTGGCCTCCTCGATCTCCAAATCTGACACCCTGCGACTTCTCTACAAACATCGACACGAAAGGGCCGCAAATTTGGACGAATTACGGCTTAAAATTAGAAATATTTTAGGATCGGTTACTCCTGACATTTTTTCAAATGTTCGTCAAGAATTTTACGACAGATTAGGGTATTGTGAAGCTCAAGCAGGTGGTTTGTTTGAACACCTTATTAATTAATAGTAAGCTTTATTTAGTAGGCATTTGAAAATAATTCATTGTTTTGCTTAACAATTGCCACTCATTTTATTTTAGAATACCGTTTTAGTTTTTACTAAAGGTTATAAATAATTTGTAATAAAGTTGGAATGCTTTAGTATGGTCTCAAAACCTCTTATCATTCTTGTAAAAAATATCGTTACAAATAGGGTACGTGTTTCCTTTTGAACACACTGTAGATCTACGATTTATCTGTCATATATTTTTTTTACCAAAAACCTGTAAAGATAACATAAGAGACTTTATAAAAATACGTTTCAAAACCAAAACCAAAACAAAAATAAAAAACTACCTCCTCAAGCCTCAATACAAACTGCTGCTATAAATACACATCCACAGAAAAATCCCGTTCTTTCGGTGCTTCCGCGTCTAGGTACTGATGGAGCGGCGCCCCACATTTCTCCCCATCACCCTGATTTATGTCTGCATTTACGAGGGAGCAAGGGTTAAAGAGAAACTAACAAGATAGAGTGGCAACACTTTACTAATTCTTTGCCGGTAAATTATCGCGGCGATTATTGATTCCCGTCGTAGAGTTGTTTTAGCTCTTCGCAGCGAGTAGTGTCGCCGTTCATAGTGGACACCATGTTACACAAAAGGGTCTTCTCGCAGGACTCGTCGCAGCCCTCCTTCACCGCGTAATCGCTGTTGCGGAATTTGTAACTGAATATAAGGAAACAAATTAAATAACCCACAAAAACAGAATATAAAAAAATACAGTAACATGCAATATTTTTCAGCTACAATATACATTATGGACTCATTGTTAAGACGTTGACATTTATATTTGATAGACCCTGTATATGAATAATCCAGAATATCAGGCTAACTCATTATTCTCGTAAAAACTACGATGTCTACGTCAAATATCATCGTCTGCAACAGCCTTTAGAAGTATATTTGCGCTCTAATTCCCCATGCTTGAGAATTCAGGACTTACTTGTAATATTTCTGGATTAAACTGTGATCCTTCGTCATCTTAACGAGCAAGTCGTCCACCGCGCTAGGCTCCAAGCTGTCCACGCCATAAGCTTCCTTAAAAGAGTAGAGTTTGTACCATTCCACATCCTTTGTAGGATCTAAATTGGCCTGAGTGAGATTGAACGTCCATTCCTCAAAATCTAGGACGTCCTGGAAACGTAGGTGGTTTTACGACGAAATAAATTTCCTTATCATTACAATTTTAGATGATATAAGAACATAAAGCAGGATATAAGGTTAAATTATTGTAATGAAAAAAAATTGAGACCCATTCTTCTAGATTTAGGATGCTCTGCAAGCGTAGCATGGCTCCGGACTTATATAGCTTTTAATTTTTTGTAAAAGTAACATCACCATTTGATGACGGATATATTTTATTCTGTATTAAAAGTATCTAAGCTTGCTATAAATTCTGAAAGCGAATGAGCTCTTTTTAGAGATCGATAGACACCGAAATCACTTACGTATGTCTCTCCATCAATATGGTAAAGCTTGTAACTGGGGTTGGACTTATCGGAGTTCAAAGAAGCTCCGTTCCAGCCCACGCTAATGGGTTTGGAGGAATCTGTACTGTCGTAATAGACCCACATTTCGTCTTTGTGAGAGTGGCCCGTAAAGTGACCAGCCACCGTGTTGGCGAATCTAAAAAAATACATTTTTTACATTATTACTGTATTATTCAAAAGGTCATGTATATCCATGAAGAAAGAATTGACTAGTTATGAATTCGATGATTTGATCCAACGATTACCTGCTAAGAATTCTTCGATATTCCCTACTCCAACTCGCCAAGCAGGATCCAGTTCCCGTTGGCATATGCATCAGAAGATGCACATTTTCCTTCATTTTCTCAGCTTCCAACAGCACCTCAACAAGCCAGGCTAGTTGTCCGTAAGGGTCTTTACTGTCATTGATCAACCACCTAGGTAACAAACTGATATATCACCAATTCTTTACATGTATCGAATTCCGTACCAATTTTCATTGTAACACACGTTATTGTTCAAGACGACGATTCTAAGGCTTTTCTTGGGCGATACTGTATAGAAACCGCCCTTTAATAAGGTCGCCTTGGCTTCCTCTGGCAGCCACTCCCCCCACTCCTCAGCTATAAGATTAAATAACCACTGGGTTGAGACGCTAGGATCGTCTACTCCTTCAGAAGACCAACTGCAACATTAAATATTCGTTGTGGAGGGACTGAATCAGTTCTAACTTACGTGTTGACTGGATGAGGTTCATGATTTCCCAAAGCAGTAAAGACTGGGACTTTGAAGTATTTCTTGAACAAATCCGTGATGGTGATGATCTCTTTCGTATTGTTTTCTGTGCTTGTCGACCATACTCTGTGCCTAATAGTATCACCAGTATAATATACAAAATCAAATTCCTAAAAGAGAAAGTATTGTTCAGGTAATATTTCCTTTATTGTTTAGAGAAAAACAGCGACGTACATGCGTGGCCATTTGTTTGAACGCTTCCTCCACTGTCTGGATGGGTGTGTCTGCGCTGATGTACTCAGCCCAGTACCCACAAGAAGTTCCTTCCTCTGAACCGTCATCTTGGTCGTCCTGGCAGCATAGGGGTGCTCCGCACTGAGTGGTTTTTCCAGGGGTGTATCGCGGATCGTAGTGGATGTCCGAGATGTGTAGAACGTTGTAAGGATTGGTACCGGTGGCCTTAAACAGCAAATAATTTAAGATACTCAACACAGTCTTAGATCATTCTACCTTTGGTTTATCCACCGTATTGCCTTCAGGGACGTCGATGCTCCAATCGTAATGTTCGCTGTCACAGTCTTTCTCTGGCAGTATAAGACCGCATATCCTCTTACCGCTTATGTCTTTGGTATTGTCGATCATATAAGCGAACACGTCTACGTTGGGTCTGATGATTCCCTCACATATAGTGGCACTCTCTATCTTCAATAGAGTGCAGACGAAATCGGCCTCCTTTACCAGTTGTTCATTAGTCATCCCCAGTTTTCGCTCAGCTATCAGCAAATCAGCCACGATTTTACACGACGTACATGTTGCAAAGTCGTCTATTGATATGCCTTTGGGGAGAGAATCCAGATATGTGTGTAGGGTTTGGGAAACGGATTGCAGTTCATCTGAAAAAACCAATGGTTTGAACCATCTCCTTTCTTTTACCCCGGGTCAGTTGTTAAAATTAATTGTGGATGTTGAATTATTATTTTGTTGCAAATTTAATAAAACAATTAGCGAATGTTTACTCAATTTAACAGGAGAATTGAGTCCTGCACGAATTAGGTTCCCTTTAATTTTCTTTCGATGCCTGGAGGGCATTGAAAAAATTAATTGGATCTTTTCGTTCTTTCATTCCTTTGTGTCAGCCGTAATAAAAGCCACGTATAAAAAACTTCGTATCAATACTTACCTCCTAGGGGTTTGCCTTTGGAGACACAAACGAAAGCACAAAACAGCAAGTATACCAACAATTTCGATCCCATCTTGCGAGTGATGAGGTAATGACGAGAAATCCGCGTCTTATATTTTACTCTTTACTTAAATTTCTTGTCGCGAGGGTTTTGAATAGTTCGAATCTCAGCGATAAGAAACTGGAGAACCTTATCACGTTTAAAAAAAAGCATGTAAAAGGGACTTTATCTGAAGAACGTGCAAAAGTAGTATCGTGATTGTAAATAAAATTGAAGCGTATACGAGGCGTGCCCAATATAAAGTGAAGGTGATAGAAAATTACAAAAGGAAAGGAAGGAAATAATGTGGTTATAGGCATTAGGATAGACAAAATTAAGAGAAAAATAAGCAGCGTATTGAAAAGCTTATAAAGAACAAAACTAGTGAATAGAAAGGAAAATAAGAACAGCACCATTTCAGCAGGATTGACAGTGAAGAGTTGGCGGCATATAAATTTCTAAGTGGAATAAACTGTGCATTTGACTGTACTGGTATGATAGGCTTGCGTTAGAATGTACAATTTAATTGATTTCAAGTACTTTTCGATATCTTTAAATGACTATTACTGTTAATTTTTTTGACGTTTGACAATAAGCGATAAGACAAGAATAAATAAATTATGATTATACTCTGTTTTTTTATTAAAATTCATACTCCATGAACTTACTTAGAACACTTAAATTTTAAATAATAATTAATTAGGATAAATACATACAAAAGCAATGTTGCAATTATAATATGAATTGAGCAGCTAACTTTGGAGTAGTTAAAATACCTCCTCCCCTGAACAGCTCGTCCTTAAGTTCATTTAAAAGCCTCATATATTTTATTTTATATAAAGGACATAAATTATCCCTACAAATTGCGAGCGTGTTCCTTTTTTAACTCATAATTCAATTTAGGGTACCATTCTTTTTACGATACGAAACGAGCCTCGAGCCACGCGCCGTTTCTAGCCGCGAAACAGGCCCTACAGTTAATTTTATCTGGGTCGTGACGATATTTCAAGAAATTAATGAGGGTAAAGTGCACCCTTCGGATCGAATGGACCGGCGGAACGCAGTGGTGGTGGCGTCATACAATACCAACACCGATATGGGTATCGTTTTCCCATTAGCAGAATGTAAGATCTTATGCTACGGTCACACGTAGCGCTACGCTATGTTCACCACGCACAATATTGCACACATCGAACATAGCTAACTTGTGAGTGGTTTTAGCGTAATTTTAGGCCGCACAGATTGCTATGGTGGCTAGTTCATTCACTATGCTATGTTCGTTAGCGAACATAGCTATGCTCGCTATATAAGTCGAAAATTGAGAACATATACTATATTTGCAGCTATGTTTTTCAGCTACACAGCGAGCATAACAAACGCAGCTCTGTATTGTAGTATAACAACCCCGGATTGTAACATTAACAACCATTTAACATAAAAGGAGAGTGCCAGGCTCACCTAGAGCTCCTGCGAGGAAAGAGCATGGCAGAGAAACCCACGATCGTTGCTCTAACTACCCAAATATAAATACAAAACAACCGCTAACAAAAGGCATACATTAAGATCCTTTGCTAATGATAAATAAGACCTGACTTATTTAATTTCTCACTAAATGTCACCTCACTCGAATTTGACATACACTCTTCCAAGTAAAACTGAAGAGGTTTGGTGTTAGTTAGCCGGCAGAGCTGGAAGGTACTGGAGTCCGATACGGGAGGCAATACAGCTATAAGTTGAGATTTCGGAAGATCTGCTTTAGCAATTCTTTTTTTTTTGTATTTAATTATTCTTTCTCTTCAGATTTCAACAAGGCTCTTATAGGCGTATGACATAAAGTGAGCATCAGAAATGCTTTATTATTCGTTTTTCGAACAATGTAATCATGATAAAACAAGTTAAATGTGAAACAAAGGAGTTGTTATTGCAATATCCTGGCAGTCACGACAAAATATACATATTTTAACATGTAATAAATAATGAGCAATCTTTAATAATAATTGGAACAGTTTTACGTTAAAAAAATATACGCCCCTGAGCATAAGACAATGAAGGCTAAACATATACAGAATTATTATCATGAAACGCCTATAATAATCACAATCATAAGATTTCATAGAACAATTAACAACAAAGTACTTAGAGAATAATTACCTGCTAATTAATACGGGTTAAACACTTTGATTTTTCACTATTTTGCCACACTGCCCGCCGATCGTCTTACTACCCATCTCCACACTGTTCTCACTTCAACTGTTTTGGCTTCTTTCCAGAATTCCCCACCTAAGCGTTTGTTTTTGCGCTTCCTTCTACCAACTGTCAATATTACGTTTTCATTATTGTACAACACCCATGTAACAGTCGAAATTGATACGATAAGTATAGTTTTGCACAGTATGGTCGTAATATTAACGGTTTCAAACGCCTCGAACATAGCGCTGTATGTAGCCCTAGCATCATTCTAACATAAATGAAGCAAAGCTTATTCTTCTATTCACTTTGAACGAAGTTTAGGGGGATTACATACAGCGAAAGCTCACTTCGAATGAGAGAGCGTTTCGTGTGTTCGAACCTAATGAATATTTTAATTGGTATTTCCTACGCGTGATCAAAAGGACTATAGGAAAATAACGAGGATACTGTGGAATCGTTTCATTTATTGGAATTGGATATTGTAGTTGCACTGTTAAAGAGTAATAATTCAGTCTGTGAGTTTTGGTGTTTGTTCTATGGGAAATAATCTACATTAAATTTTGAAATCTGTCCCATCAGTTAATAAAGTGCAGTGCTTTTTAATAACAAATTAAAAAAGATCTCTAAGAAACGTCTATAGAGGTATTTATGCATTTGTGCACTCATAGTAATGGATATAAATGATAAGAAATTCTATTTAAACGCCAAAAAGAAGGTGACAAAAACCAAGTCTTTATCTTAAAAGTAAAAAGTAGCAATATAGAAACAAATTTTGTTGTTCTAAAAAAGGAAAGTGAATTTAGCATATGGAACGTGGAATGGAATGTACAGTGTGTAAGAGAACTTTGCAACCTTCTAAAGATGTAAAAAATCCTTGTACGCCTTGTGACTCGTGCAGAAATTTAATATGTAATGATTGCTCTGAGCTTTCGAGCTCGGAAATTAAATGTTTAGCTTTACGAACTCGTTTATTGAAATTTATATGCAAAAAATGCAGAAATTATGAACTAACTGATTTTTTACGGAATACTATAAAGGATAAAGATCAAATAATAGATGACAAAAATGTAATTATTAATATGCTACAAGAAAAAGTCAAACAAGTTGAAGATAAACTTGCAAGTTTTACACAATTATCCTATGCATCTGTAACTAGTGCACCAGAGGTTAATAAAAGGAAAGAAAATCAGCCAAAGATCATTATTAAGCCAAAGGGGGAACAAGATAGTAGAAAAACTAAGTCGGATCTGGACAAATATATTAATCCTTCAGAATTAAAGATAGGTATAAAGCATTTTAAATCTACCAAATCAGGTTCTATCCATATCACTTGTCAAACAAAAGAAGAGACTGATATTTTAGAAAAAGCAGTAAAGGATAAACTAAAGGACAACTATTTAATTGAGCAAACAAAAATGAGAAAGCCAAGAATAAAAATTGTTAATTTTGATGGTAACATGACTGCAGATGAAATTGATAATAGTATTGCAGAACAAAATAATTTGGCAGGGGTCATTAAAACAACATATATTAGAAAAAAGAGTAGGGACCATCATACTATCTATTGTGAGTGTTCGGCTACTGCATTTAAACAAGTAATGGTTGACAGAAAATTATGTATTGGATGGGAAAGGTATTCAGTATATGAGGATTTGGATGTGCCAAGATGTTTTAACTGCCAGGGTTTTTATCATAAAAAGCAAGATTGTCGTAACAAATTAACATGCCCAAGGTGTAGTGAAGAGCATGAGGAAAATATTTGCCCTAAAGTGAAATTGTGTTGTAAAAACTGTGTTATTTCTAATGAAAAATTTAATACAAATTATAATGTTGAACATGCTGCCTCAGACCTGTCATGTGCCAGTTTAGAATTCCAAAAGTTGCTGTTACAAAGTAAAACGGACTATTCATTGGTATAATGGTACTACTCAATGAAGATTTAATTTTGCAAGAACTCGAATGCGTCGGAGGAAATCGCATGGGAAGATATGTTGGTATTAATGACAGTAAGGTACTGTTTGAAACAAATGCTGTTCTTAGGGTCTTTCATCTTAATATTCGTAGTATAAGAAAGAATTTTGATGAATTACTTGCTACTTTTGTAACCTATGAATTAGATTATAATTATGATGTTATTATCTTAAGTGAATGCTTTCAAGTGGATTCTATAGATCAGTTTAATATTCCTGGTTATAATACCTTTTACAATCATGCGGATTTTAATAAAAATGATGGAGTTATAATTATTGCAAAAAAGGGTCTTGAAACTTCAATCCATAATAAAAAGTTGGAAATAAGTGGGGTAACACTAAGCATTATGGAAATCAATATTGGTAATGTCCTTTTTAGGATAATTGCATTATATAGACCCAATCCAACTAATATAGGTGCTTTTATCAATGATATTGATGACTATTTAGACTTAAATAAAGCTGATGCCTGTTTTCAACTCATAGTGGGCGACGTTAATATCAATATATTAGAAGAAAATGAGTATGTGAACAATTATGTGTCAATGTTAGCTAAACATGGATTTGTGCCCTACATTCAATCTCCAACTAGAACTACAAAAGAATCTACTTCATGCCTTGATCATATTTTTGTAAAACGTAATCAGGGTGTCAATAGTTTTAAAATTGACTCCTATATACTTAAATGCTCCGTTACTGATCATTATGCTGTCATGATACATTTTAGTAAAGATTCTATAAGTTATGACACAATCAAGCAAATTAATACTAAAAAATTTTCTAAAATTAATATTAATAAATTCATTAATTTGATTAAAAATGAAAGTTGGAATCATGTTTTGCAATTAAATAATTCTCAACTTGCTACTAATATATTTACTGAAACATATTTAAAAATTGTATCTCAGAGTACTTATACCAAACCCACTAATAATAAAGTACCTAAGAAAATCAAACCTTGGATTACAATTGGTCTAACCAAGTCAATAATAATTAGAGATAAAATGAAAAAAAGACTGACAAATAGTTATTCTCAGGATTTGGAGATAGAGTACAAAACATATAGAAATAATTTAAATAAGCTGTTAAAAAAATGTAAGCATGAGTATTATAAAGATATTATTTTACTTAATCAAAACAATATGAAAAAAATTTATCAAGTAATATCTGAAGCTACCAATGAAAAATCTAAAAATAATGCATGTTCTTTTAATATTGCCAATGAAGATGGTCAACCATATGATAATAATAAAGATATGTCGAACTACTGTAATGAATATTTTGCTAACATTGGTATTAAAATGGCCAACAATATAAAGATACCTGATGACTTTTCTTCTCAAATACCGCCAATTAATAATTCATTGTTTTTAACGCCTGTTACAGAAAATGAAATAATATTACAAATAAATTCTTTGAAAAAAAATTCGGCTCCAGGTATGGATGCAATTACTGCCGAACTTATAAAGTCATCTCACAAGCAGATAGTTCAGCCTATTACACATATAATAAATTTAATTTTTGCCACTGGTATTGTGCCTTCTCAATTTAAAAGCTCTATCATTACTCCTGTATTTAAAAATGGTGATAATACGAGAATATCCAATTACAGGCCTATTAGCTTGATAAATAATTTTGGAAAAATTTTTGAGAAATGTCTTAAAACTAGGCTTGTAAGTTTTCTTAAAAATAACAATATATTGAGTCCACATCAGTTTGGTTTTTTGGAAGGTAAAAGTACAGAGGATGCAATGTATGAAGTAGTAAAGGAAATCACAGACAATCTGGATTCAAGTAGAAAGTGTGCTGCAGTGTTTTTAGACTTGGCTAAGGCATTTGATACAGTGCCTCATGACAAGCTTCTTAATGTGCTGCATAGTTATGGAATTCGAGGAAATGTGCTAAAGCTTTTTACTAGTTATTTAACTGATCGAATGCAATATGTTAGAGTTAATAATTGTCTTAGTGATCCCCAGGAAGTTAAAATAGGTGTGCCACAGGGCACTGTTTTAGGGCCCATACTCTTTATAATATATTTAAATTCTTTGTTATTCTTAAATACTAGTGGTAAAATACTGTCATATGCAGACGATACTGTAGTCATTTTCTCTGGTGATACCTGGGATACAGTTAAAGAACAAATGGAACGTGGCATAACTGCTATTAAAATATGGTTAGATGGACATCAGTTATCTCTAAATGCTGGTAAAACCAAATACATAGCATTTTCAATTACCAGCAAAAATAGGCCCAACTATGATAGGATTAATATTGAACGTTTCAGCATGGTAATAAATGAAGTATATTCCATAAAATATTTAGGTATCGTAATTGACAAAAACATTAAATGGGAGCAGCATATAAATAAATTAACAGCGAACACTCGAAAACTGATTTTTAGATTCTACAAATTAAGAGATATCTTAAGCAAAAAAATATTACTTATAGTTTATAAATCTCTAGTGGAATCCATTTATCGCTATGGTATTCTGGTATGGGGTGGTTTATATAATACGACTTTAAAACAGCTATCTGTTGTACAAAATTATATATTAAAAATCATTTTAAAAAAAAATAAATTATACCCGACCAGTTTACTTTTCAAGGATGGAATATGTAATATTAGATCTTTGTATTTCCATTCATTGTGTACAAATGTATTTAAAAATGAAAAACAGTTGATAATGAATGTTAGGGTAACTCGGAGTATGTCAAACGAAGCTTTACTAACACCTTTTAATAATAAAACCATAGGTTTGAGATTTGCGACACATTTAGCTCCCAAGACATACAACTTGTTACCCTTAGAAATAAGAAGAACCAAAAGCTTTAAAAAATACTCGCACCTCTGCAAAACATACATAAGTAACAACTATTTGTCTTTTTTGTCATTGATTGAATAATATCCTAGCTAATACGAAAGATGATAATAATAATTTGAATTTTACTCATATTGTATATACAGCATATACTTAATGGATTTTGTGCTTGCACAATACAAGTGTTAATTCACTTAGGTGCAATGTGTATAACGTTTTTGTTTCTTTTTTTTCTTCTTAGTGTTAATTTTAATATACTGTAATTGTTTTATCTGTTTTCTAAAAGTAGGCCTAACACCTAAGATACAACGTTAAATAAGATTTAACAAGTATTATTTTTTTATACTTAGGTTCCTACATGATTGACGTGTAAAAGTTATGTATGTGTATGTGTTTTAAAGTTAGCCACATTAAACAATAAACAATAGAGTGCTAAATAAAATTTAGTGTGAGGCATTTAATTAAAAAGATGTAATATTAACAAATAATAAAATAAAATAATTAATAGACTAAAATTTGAAATGTAATTACTTTGTACTTTCATCATAAAGTTTTTTTAGCTCCTCGCATTTTTCCGTATCGCCGTGCACCGTCGTCACCATATCGCATAGCAGACTCTTTTGACAGGACGTGTTGCAGCCGTTCTTTACTGCTACGTCGCTGTTGCGGAATTTATAACTGAAAAAAAATATATTCTGTAATAAATTTAGTTTAAAACTGAGGAAAATTGTAAAGCATTTATTTACACGATAACATTTATGTGTAATAAGGTATGCAGCAAACTAGAAAGTGCGTTTTTTTGTAAAAAAAGTCTTTAAAATAATCTATTTATAAAAAAATATAACTAGATGTCTCTCTTGGAGACCAATCGTTTTCAGTTTTTCATAGCACACTCTTCCAATTTATGAAGTGGTTGTGTATCTTATCTATATGTTTTTTTGTTTACTAATTATTTCGCAAGATAACAAAATTGTAATGTTAAATGTCATTCGATACGTGATTGAATAATTACATAGACCGCGTTTTACAAATTGCATAACTTCAGGTATCTGTTAACAGAATTCCTGAAAAATAAGAAAAATTTTCCTATAAATACATGGGTAGAGAATTGCTTATTGTAAAATACGGGTGTTCAAGTTAAAATTTCTAAAATCAACAAAATTATGTGAAATAGAACCATTCCAATACAAATTATTTAAGTTTTGATAGACCCTTTCCTTGAGGAAGTCTATCTCCAAGTAAAAGTTAGGTTATGTAATTTAGAACGCCCTTTAAAAATACAGTTGTTCTTCTGCTTATTTCTCTTAAATAAATAAATAAAGTATACAATCTTACTTGTAATATTTTTGAATCAAACTATGATCCTCGGCCATTCTAGTCAACAGCTTGTCGACTTCGCTAGGTTCCATACTACCCACCCCGTAGGCTTCTTTGAAAGAATAGAGTTTATACCAATCTACGTCCCTTGTAGGATTTAAGTTGGCCAGAGTGAGATTAAATGTCCATTCTTCAAAATCTAGCACATCCTGAAAAGTTATTAGGGCAATAATCTTCCGGAGCAATATTTTGTCAATTTATTTCGTAGTATATTAGCTTCTGATTGCAGCAATGGGGTTAAAAGTTAGAATAGGACAATACAGCTTCGATAAAACACGTATTTCTTATCTACATATACACTTATGACACGCACTGACATGCCTCAATTGGAAGTTGAGACATGGCAGGATTTAAAAGTTAAATCATGCAGCTCCGATCACCTCTATTTCTGTAGACGATAGACAATGCAACTGAACGTATTCTCGGAACACTATGGGAAATGAACAGCACATTACAATTTCTGTAATTGTAAAAATTGCGGTTTGATTTATTCACGACTCTACTGCGTACTATTCCGGCCGCTCGTATTAATAAAAACTGTTTTCCTGACGCAATTTTCCACTGCTGTGACCGATTTGTCGGTCTGTGGGCAGGCATCAAGAAAGATATCGAGAAAATCCAAAGACGCCGATACGGCTAGTCATAAATCGAGGATCACTTACGAATGTCTCCCCATCAATCTGGTACAGCTTGTAACTGGGGTTGGAGTTGCTGAACGGTGTTACGGAAGCCCCGTTCCAGGACACGCCAACGGCTTGTTCGTCGTCGTCGTAGTAGACCCAGAGCAGGTCCCTGTGAGTATGGCCGCTGAAGTGGCCCGTTATTGTGTTGGAGAACCTGGAAAATGTTGTTTCAGGGGAAGAAATATGGACGATTGAGCTCTATAATAGCTTTTCCAGTTTAATCCATCCAATTTCATTTTATCCATGGAGATTTTCCAATATAATTAATAAGAAATTTATAGAAATTCAGATAGGCTTTAGCTTTGATTAAATATGTCCTTATCCTGAAATATCTGAATAATTTTGAGTGGACGACATACCTTCTAAGTATTTTGCGGAATTCGCGACTCCAACTGCTTAAACACTCGCTGCTGCCAGTTGGAATATGCATTAACAGGTGAACACTCTCCGAATTCTTCTCAGCGTCCAGCAGCACTTCAGCAAGCCAAGCTAGTTGGTCGTGGGGGTCCTCGCTGTCATTGACTAGCCACCTGAAGTAAAATATAACCTAGTTTAATGAAGCTGCTAGTAAGGAACCTTTATTTCTTCCACTTTCGACTTACCAGTTTACTGTATAGCACACGTTGCTATTGAGAGCGACAATTCTGAAGCCTTTCCTTGGTGAAACCGTGTAGTAACCTCCTTTTAATAACGTCTTTTTGGCGTCTTCGGTCAACCATTCCCCCCACTGTTCGGCCACGAGGTCGAACACCCATTGGGTTGAGAGGGTAGCGTCGTCTACACCGTCCGAAGACCAACTAGAAATTTTAATATCTCAAAATTTGTAAGTACTATACAACTACCAGATATAGTTTACTTACACATTCAGAGGATGAGGCTCATGATTACCCAAGACTGGATACACAGGGACATTGTAGTATGCCTTGAACTGATCGGTGACTGCTATAATATCCCTCGTGTTATTTTCTACACTGGTAGACCACACCCTGTGGCTCACGAAGTCGCCTGTGTAGTATACATAGTCAAATTCCTAGGGAAATATAAAATTTAAGACGTAGAGTTTAGCCTAAATTATGACTACGACTAAGACCCAGAGACTAAATATGGTTGCAGATTCAGTTACATCAGATTTGGTGATTTTTTCCTTAGTTCTAGAAATTTGAAGCCAAAATCCTATTTTTTTGTCCACTTACATGGGTACCGCTTTCTCTCAGAGCCTCCTGCATGGTGTGGAACGGCGTATCCGCGTCGGAATAATCAGACCAGTATCCGCAAGTGTTGCTGTCGTCAGTACCGTCGGGTTGGTCGTCCTGGCAACAAAGGGGCTCTCCACACTGACTAGATTTGCCAGGAGTGTACAGCGGGTCGTAGTGGATATCGGAAATATGGAGAATATTAAACGTGTTGGTGCCATTGGCCTAAATATAAAAAATCGTTAAAGTTTTCCTCTGGTTTACGTCTCGGTATTTTGGGATTATACCTTTACTTTGTCGACAGTTTTCCCCGAAGGAACCTCGACAGTCCATTCGTAGGCGTTGCCACTGTCGCAGTTATAGTTTGTTAATATGAGTCCACACACTGAGGTGTTCTTTAGGTCTGCGTTGTTGTCGATGATATACATGAAAATGCCCTAAAACCATGGAATAAATCAACGTTTAACATCGAAAGATGTTCCGAATTGTGATAAAATGGATACAAAGCAGTCGTTAAATAAATACTGTCATATCCTTAAGCTGCTGATTGCGTATTACTTACCAGATTAGCATTGATGATTCCATCGCAAACTCTTTCGTTCTCTATTTTCAAAGTAATGCAAATATCGGACGCCTCCTTCGCCATTTCCACGTCGGTCATCCCCAGTCTCCTCTTTAAAATGAACAGGTCCACTATCTGGCTGCACAGATAGCATACCTGTGAATCACCGATGGCCGCTTTTACATCGGTGTGACCCCTGAGTATGTTGGGTAAGGGACACTGACTCAAGGCATAGCTGAAGTACCCAGGGCGTACACCAGTGTTCAAGTATTCGGTGAAAGCTCTGGTCGTGAGTTGGAAGCCATCTACAAAAGAAGGAGAAGCTGCTAATTACAGCTCCACGTGACAACCGTTCTAAATCATCTGTTGTTTAGATTTATTCTGTCTCTATGTTTGTTCTCACATTAATGCAGTTGGTACACGTTGTAGTGTTGTCTAAAGTAAATAAATACTTACCTTCTATTGTGTTGCTGGTTGAAGCAGAAACACACAAACAAAACAACACAAACCCGAATAGTTTGGCACCCATTTTGAAAGTGATGTTACTTTTGTAGTAATCTTTTCTTTTAAATTTACTGAAATGCGATTTAATCATGGGACACAATAGATATTTTTCACTTTATTATCAGATAATGTGAATTTTTGTTACAATTAACCTCAAGTATTTTGTGTGTAACTTAAGAAAAACAAAGTAAATAGTCGATAATTTTTATTACGTACTTACATACCACATTAACTGTCATTGGGTTTTAATTAAAACGATTAAAAAATATTTTACATTTATTTTAAGCTCGACCTAGAGTGTCGATTTGAAGTGTCATGTATATATTTATTTTTGTCCATTATTTGACTTGACTGATGAACCTCACGTGTTTCATTCTTGTACTTCATTAAAGAAATATAGCTGAATGTATACATGATCCCGTTCTTTTAAGCAGAGACTCCAGATTGACGTGCCTAACGATTCGGACCAAGCAACAACCGCAAAGTGCACCCCGCACTTAATCTAACTCGACCACGTTAATATATTAAGAGTTTCGAAAGAAATTAATGAAGTTGAATTGAAAATTTATTACACTTCTGTTGTCCCTTCTGTATTTAACTAACAGAAAAATAAGACCGAATACTGGTTCAGTTCATAAGTGGAGGGGAGATCGAAAACCCCCATCAAGAGGAATCAGATCGGGGGAGGGTGGAGGCTAAAGCGTTGAAATAATTTTAAGTTAATTGAACTTTTATTTTGATCATTCTGACAATTTATACGCTTAAATTTAAATTCTGTGTAGCTATTTGTGGCGTTTCATCAGTTTCCTATTTGTCTAGAGACCTTTGACCGACTATGAAACTGCGTAGCCACGCCCGCAGCAAAACGAAATTCTAAAATTATCAACTATTTACATTACTGGAACTATAAAACGTTTTGCGCATAGAGGAGTTGGAAAAATATGAACACTTAACGTCCCATAGTGATTTATGGCGGTTTTTCTGGGGGCAATTAATGCCGAACTTTTAATGAAGTTATAAAAATATTTTAATAGATCTTCCAAGCTCATTTGGAGTGGAAGCACAAAGATTTTACGCGAGCTGTTTTCCGTTTATGCGAAAATTTAAACCTCGGCTGTCGAGATATTTCTTTTATTTTTTTATAAATGTTGTAACTTCCTAGAGTTCTATTACTGTTATAACAAACAGTTTCCAAACCGTTTTTTTTACCCGTACAAAAGATGAAATTAATTATACTTATAATTTCTGATACAATTATATTGTATTCCTTTAACGAAAAATATCAGAAAAACTCTATGATCTGACATTTCGCCACATAAAAAGTCGTCAGAAATACTTACCATCGAAATAAATGAAATAGACCTCTGAGTTTGGAAACCGATATTAAGAAAACGTAGGGGCAAATAAAATTGAAATTTGGACCATATATAGCCTCACTATTACTCTATTGTGTGCTAAAATTTCGTTATCCCATTTTCTAATTATTAATGAAAATGTTGAAAAAATCAGGGTTTTGCCTACAAAATTGATACCTCTCACTTTAACATTTTTTTGTTAATTGATAAAAAGATTCCAAAATTTTTATTGACAATAAGTCGAACTATTGTCTTTAGTATTTTGAAGGCAGTTTGTCTCAAAAGCTCTTTTTTTTATTTTTAAGCAAAACAGAAGGGAGTGCTATCTCCGTAAATATTGCATTCTTTTTGCCCTTACGTTTTCTTATAGCTCAGTATATGACGGTTTTTAGTTCCGAATTCTTGACTCATGCACCGATTGACGTGAAATTTTAACAGTAAGTAGAAAATTGTTCAAGAAACAAAAGTTACATAGTGCCGATGTGTGCTTTCACCCTGGGGGTGAATGCCATCCCTTCTCGGGGGTGGCAATGAAGGCACCCATTTTAATCGCAAAAATCAATAGAGGGATGAATTCTAAACAAAAAACGTATTTTCCAAAAATTAATATTTTCCGAGTTATTTGCCATTGAAAATGTTAATTTTTCATCTAAAAAGTGCATGTTTTTCAACCATTTTTGATAAATAACTCGAAAACTTTGCGTTTTATCGAAAAACTCATATACAGCAAAAATAAAGCTTTTGAATTCATTTTTTGTTGATTACCGTAGATGTAATAATAACCGAGTTATCGCTCTCTAAATGTGATTGTTTATTTTTCGGAAAGTAAAATCGAACGAAAGAACTAATTTTTCGAAGAAAATTAATATAACCTCTTTTAAAGTGCTTGGAAAGACCTTTAAAATGCTTTTTGAAAAAATTTCGTAGCTCAAAAACTCGCGGAGCTATGATGAAAATAAAATGGGAAAATCTCATTTTTTCGGAAAAAAAATCAACAATAAAATCTATGGCTGAACCATAAAAATAGAAACTAAGCGTAATCCGTGTACAGTTGAGTTTATTTAGGTACTAATAATAGACTCTGCAAGTTTGACCGGTTTAGAATGGCTAAATTTAAAAAAAGTTAGAAATAATGAAAAAAAATTTTTTCATTTAAAAAAAAAATTCCTTTTTTTCGAAGTAACTCAAAAACTAAACAAGATACGAGGAAAATGCAAGAGTTCAAAATTAAAGGTCTTTTTTATAATATTTTTGTTCTCTTTCAATTTTTCTGTAAAAATTAACTGAGATATTACGTTTTTTAGTTTGTATTTGCGTGTAAGGACCACCTTCTTTGAGCCTTTAAAACCTAAAAATCTCAAAAACGAAGAGTTCAAGACCCTTCAACTACAGAGGTTGTAATTTGTAGCTCTTACAATTCCCTGCAAATTGTTTTTTGGAGCGATGAAAAATATTAAAAATTAAATAAGTTACCGTGAAAAAACGAATTGTATTATTCAGTGAAAATTGTCGGACTGTGTAAATGGCTTATTTTCCGGTAGTTTCAGAGGCATAATACACACTAATTACATAATTTAAGTTCCGAGTAATCTCGTTGAATTTAGTAATGTATCGTTGAGTGTTTTGAAGCAGGTAAAAATTCTTCAATTCCTCATTAAGGGTTGTTTTTAAGGGTTGAAACGTTGCAATGAATCATCAGTAATAGTATAAACAGTCTTTCCTTCATTATAAATGCTATGGAGATGTGAAAAGAAAATGTTTGCTTTATTTTCTGCAATAAGGGTTGTTTTTAAGGGTTGAAACGTTGCAATAAATCACGTATTATTTCATAAACAGTAAAAAATATTAAATTCTTCATTATTGCTCCGTCAAAACATTTCAGAGCCGCGAAAACTAATTTTTGTTTTTTTCCCCTATAAAGGGTGGATTTTAAGGGTTGAAATGTTGCTACAAATCAAAAATTATTATTCAAAACATAAAAGAATGCGTATTCTATTGACGTAATACTTAAATCTATGGTTTTTACGTTTTTGCAAGAAGGGGTAGGTTTCATCCCCTAAAAACAATAAGCACACATTATGGCTATGTAACTTTTGTAAAGGAGGGTGAAATGAGCTTACTCACCGATTTTCAAGAAAATCGGTGCTTGTGTCAAGAATTCGGAGGTAATACCCTTTTTTTACCGCTGTATACTGGACTATTAACATTGGTTTCCGAACTCAGGGGTCTATTTCATTTATTTCGATAGTAGGTAAGTCTTATTCATACGCTACGCACAAAGTAAGCAGAAAAAAGAACAAAGTTTTTTGTAGACGCGGCTTCTGCGTCTACAATATGCGTTTTTTACGTGTTCTAGCTATTTATTCAAATTCTCGGGCATTCCTCATCTCCGTTTCTTCTTCAATAACTTACCCCTGAAGTACATACGGAGGGATGGAAATAACGAAATGTCTCGCAACGTCCCCGTGTCTTGGCGGTCGACAAATCCCAACCGAAATAAGTGTCTCAATTTATACCTGTATTCGTTTGAAGAGGGTTGAAGGGACAAATGGCCGATTGTCAAAGAGGGACACGCATTGATTGAGTCCGCTGACTGATACACCTTAATCCGAAGGAATTGTGGGAGATACTGCCTGTGCAGGAACCAACGAAAAAACGTTTAGTTTACGGTGTAGAAGCAGCCGAGCTTTATATTAGAAATGGCAGTATTATTTTGATAACCCCTTTTGTATTTCAATTTGTCAAAACAACTCATACCATTTTGCTGATTTTACTTATTTCATATTTATAATTTTTATTATCGGCCACGGAGACAACACTTAAACAAAACTACGTCCTTTGCAGCATTGAAAACAAGGTCCTGTGACGTACTTAATTGTAATATCAGATTTTTTTTTACATTAATATGTGAAATGCCGACATTATTGATCGAAATCTTGGATCGATTAGCAGGTACTAGGGCAAAGTTGATGTTTTTGTTTCTGCCACTTGACTAAGTAGTAAAAAATTCGATTAAGTTATTTTAAAATACTCTATAGAAACATTTTATCTTTTATCTGATCTGTTTAAGATCACTTCATCACTTTATTATATAGACCATGAAATTAATAGTTTTTTTCAAAAAATAATCGAACTTTTTGAATTACGCGTTATTTTCTCAATCAACTTTCCAAATCACTGGATGGGGCGCAGAGGTTCATTTGAGTGGCCTCCCAGATCTCCAAATCTAACGCACTTACACTTTTTTCTATGGAGCCCTTCAAAAAACCATTTTGTCGGTTTTTTCAAGGTCAAATATGTAAAATTTTCTTTCGACCCTTATTTTTGTAAGGGTTTGAACTGAAAAGGCTTGAACAAGTTGCTATTTACGAACAAATGCAAACTTTAAACGGCCGTATCTTACTTAATTTTTATCCTACAGAAAAAAAAAACAAAATTTTCAAAAAGCAAAACCTACAATTTTATAGGTACTCTACAAAATGTTGCGTGTTAGAGTTGTTTTGAAGTAAAGACAATCTTTTCCAAAAATACAAAAATTCTCTTTTCACTTCAAGCTCAACTTTTTTCAAAACTAAGTACTTTAAACCGGTCACACTTCTAGAGCAGATTACAAGTACATAAATAAAGTAAATTGTAAAGTGGTAACGATTATTTTCAATTGGGGTGGTAATTAGGGGGTGATTTACACGTTTTTTTGTCGCCGAAAAAAAT